TGTTGAGGGGAGCTTCTTGTTGAGGGGAGCTTCTTGTTGAGGGGAGCTTCTTGTTGAGGGGAGCTTCTTGTTGAGGGGAGCTTCTTGTTGAGGGGAGCTTCTTGTTGAGGGAAGCTTCTTGTTGAGGGGAGTTACTTGTTGAGGGAAGCTTCTTGTTGAGGGGAGTTACTTGTTGAGGGGAGCTTCTTGTTGAGGGGAGTTACTTGTTGAGGGAAGCTTCTTGTTGAGGGGAGCTTCTTGTTGAGGGGAGTTACTTGTTGAGGGGAGTTACTTGTTAAGCAATGTATGTGCGTAGTCATTTAAAAGTATACGTAGGGTTGGAGATGAGTATGTTGAGAGCAGGAGTGACCACCTCCCCCATACATGAGAACACAGGCCTAGGAGACCGGGTAAATTATGTTGTAAGGTTAGGTTAGGGAAGGCGTGGGAAGCGGAAGAGGAAAGAGAAGTGGCATGTGAGGGTATTAGTCGCAATGTGAGAGGTGGTGTTAGGGAGGGGATGGCCCCTGGCCGGGGGAGCAATCTGCCCCCCCCCCCCGCCAGTAGCAGTCAACCCTTTCCATCTCTTGGTTTTAGAAAGGGTAGTCTGTCCTATGTCAATAATCTGAGGGTGTTTCCAGCTTCCATAGTGGCGGTACATCAGTAACAACATATGGATTGGGATTTCTTAAACAGTGTCACAGAACTTAAAGAACTGTGCTATGTGAACTTCTCCAACAGTCATTACACACAGATACGTAGACTTGAGAATGAGAAGGTGTTGCGTGGTAGGGTATTTCCTCCTCCAATGGCTTCACCACTGCCAGCACCACAACACAAGGGAGAGGGGGGAAAGTCTCTCACACAATGACACAGAAACACTCCAACAGGAGTGGGTCATTAGTTCGAGTCAATCCCAGTCTCGAGACCAGGGGTCTGCACTCTACAAATGCCTGGAGGATACTGAGGAGTGTGTGAGGTGTCCTCTCTCTTTGTCAACAATGTCCCCACCCCCTACCACCCCTTCACCCTCTGTCTTTCTCTGTCTTCTCTCTCTCTCTCTCTCTCTCTCTCTCTCTCTCTCTCTCTCTCTCTCTCTCTCTCTCTCTCTCTCTCTCTCTCTCACTATCTCTCTCTCTTTCTCGATCGATCGATCGAGCTGTTACCCAGCACTTTTCCATATCTGGGGGCATGTTCCCTCTACCTTAGTCAAGACATTACTGGTGTTTACGTTAATGGGGTGTCAATTACTACACCGGCGCTCCTGCGTGCTCCCCTCCCCCACACCTGCCAGTCATCATACACTTGTCTTCCCTCAGGGGTCGACAGACTACATGCATTTCTCCATATTCAGAACAATAAATAGTTAGGGAAAGTAAACACATTTATATTATTTTATTCTTGTACTAGCTGTACCCGCCACGCGTTGCTGTGGCTCAGTCTGGTTAAAGTGGAAGGAAAGAAAAGAGAAAGCGCATGTTTCTAATATGTTTAATTCCACAATGCTTGTGGGTATACAATATGTTTTGTTGTTCCATTGTCTGTGGAGATATAGAGATTGTCTGGTTTGCCGACTCTAGAACACTCAACATATAATTGTCCACGTGAGAAGCAATCCGTGTCTAGATATAAACTGCACAATTCTAAAGATTGGCCCTGAGCTTTGTTGATGGTGATTGCAAATGCCAATCGAATTGGAAATTACAATCTCTTAAATTGAAAACTGCATATCTGATGGAATCATAGGAATGCGAGGAATGAGGACATCTTCCCCTTTGAAAGGTCCTGTCAGATTGTTGCTTCTATGACGTCGCTGATTAGGTTTTTTGCTGCAAGGTGCGTGGCGTTGCAAAGTTTTGGCTGGTTGATATTTCGCAACATGATAATTGGCACGCCGATTTTCAATTGCCGTACGTGTGATGGTATCCCTGGCAGATCGAGTGAATTAAAAAATTCTGTTGGGTAATTAACCGCTTCATCTGCTTCCACAACAGTGTCGACGGACTTGTGTGTGACTGCCTCGCTTTGAATGTTAGACTGAACAATATTGTTAAGGTCGTAGATGTTTTGTTCTTAGTCACAAGAATAGCTATTTCACTCAGCTAATCGTGATTCTTATAATTGGTTTCAATATTGGGAAATTCTTTTTCAATCAATTCTTCTTTTGACCTCACTAAATTGCAGACGTTATAAGGCAATGAATTTCGTCCTGAGGTCAGATCAACCGCCCCGTTTACGTTCCCAATTTCTAGAGATTGATGTGAGAATATCTCAGCTGATTGATCGTTTTGCAGTAGCTACATAACTACGCGCATATTTGTAGTTAATTTAAATGTCATTACGTTTCGCCACAAAGTAGAGTATTTCAGGCAAGCATTTATTTCGTCCGATGGTGTCGATCGAGGAATTACAGGTAATGTTTGCTTGAAACTCCTGCAAGCAATATTAATGTTTCCAAATGGTCTGATGTTTCCACGCAAATCTTGCAATGATCGATCAAGAGCCTCGAACGACTTTTTGTAGGACATTGTGCATTCATCCCAAACAATAAGTTTGCATTTCTGCAATACTTTTCCCATGCCGAATGCTTTGGAAATGTTGCACGTGGGAGTCTCACTGAATTTCATGGTCAGTGGCGATTTCAAAGTCGAAGTAGCAGTTCTTCCACCTGGTAGCAATGTCGCAGTAATTCCAGACGACGCAAGAGCTAAGGTTATGCCATTTTGGGATCGAAATACTGCCAAAATCAATCTATTTAGGAAGGTTTTACCAGTTCCTCCTGGCGCATCTAAGATGATTTCTCCAAGCTCGTTATTGACAGTTTGAATTATTTGATCGTAAATGCCTTTTTGCTCAAGCGTTAGCCTGGGAATATTTGATTAAACATACAACAACAGATCACCTGTTTTGTAATTTTGTTCACGACGCAATTCTACGTCGAACGAAGCAGCAGCGATCGATTCGATGATGGCATTTCCAGTTGATTGAGAACTCTGATCGCGATTTCTAAGCACAAGTCTTCAATCATTATCAACACTTCGTTGAAGATTTTTGCAGTAAAATCCATGTTCATATTTGAATTTTCTTTTCGTATTCGACGGACAATATCTTCAGCCATGTGCGATTTATAATTATCCCATAACTCTGTTGGACATAACGGAGAGCCGGTGATCAATGACATTGATCACCGGCTGAGTGATCCGTGAGTGACACTGCATGAATTTGATTTGGATGTGACGTGTTGGACGCGTCATTAATGCATACATCCCAGTGTCGGTCATTCTCCAATAAATTCAGAGCTTGACATGCACTACGGAAAGTGGCATGTGTTACGCCGTTGACAAATCTCAATGGCTGAAAGACGTTGGACCGAGCACATTTACCAACAGCATGCGAAGAAAGAAGCATTCATCCTGATTGGGATGCACGGTGTACAGTCTGCCTATCATAGTTTATTTGAATATGCCAGGTTGTCCGTTGACTTGCTCTCCTCGTTTGCGTCGTTCAAATGATTTTCTACTGGCATTCCATGTGTAATATGTAGGCACTTCCGAACATAGCAGTGTTTTCGCAAAAAAGTCATTTTGACATAACGTGAAGAAAACAGTTAACGCTGTAGCCGGTGGATTCATAGCTGTTTGTTGCATATTCGCAGCTGTGAAATAAACGTGTTGTCCATTTTCTTGTTTTCAAAACAAAAACAAAAAATACTAAAGAAACATTTCAATAATTCAAACGCAGATCAATCGACACAGCTCAATTTCACCACCAATTGCACTCAAAAATAATAAGAACTGTTAAAACAACGAAAAGAAAAACAATGAAAAAAGAAACAAATAAACTATACCCACAAAATGAACGGAATGGTAAACAACACAGCTCAATTCCAACGCAATGTCACACAAAATAATTAAATCAAAATGAAAATAAATCAAAATCTATGAAAATTCAATTTATCAATGCAATCGGAAACATTGAAATGGAATCGTAACATATTATGTATTGCTTGTGTTGGTCTTACATGCAACAGATGGCGCTGTTTAAAAAAAAAAAAACTTGTTTTTAATTATCACAGATGTGGCATCTAAATAGTAGGTTTACAAAAACACGCACGTATTCGATTATAACGTTGTGTCAAAATTTGAAAACAATCGGTGAAGAACTTTCGGAGATTAAAGCGTATGTTGCTCCGACGTCCAACAGATGGCGCTGGTTTTAAAAAAAAGGCATGTTTTTTTCCTGTCACAGGTGAAGCATGTATATGTTAGGTATACAAAAACGCGCGCCTATTCCAATGCAACGTTGTGTCAAAATTTCAAAGCAATCGGTAAAGAGGTTTCGAAGATTTCCCTCACATGAAAAACACATGAAAAACACAGTTCTTCAAAAAAGCTTGTTTTTACCGTCACAGACGTGACATCGATGTAGTATGTCTATAAAAACCTGCTCGGATGCGAATGGAACGCTGTGTGAAAATTTCCAAGCAATCGGTGAAGAACTTTCGGAGATTAGCGATTTTGAACAAACGAACATTTACATTTTTATTTATATAGATTTATTATTTAAATAGATTGCTGAGGTTGATCAGTAAGGTATTACCGGGCGTTAATAACTCTCCAGCTGGGACATGACACCAACACCTCATCAATATATTTCTCTTCTCATCTGTGCTGAAACATATCGTGAAAATGTTTATATTACGAATGTGAATATATATTTTTTTTTACATTTTTTAATTATGTTCCTAGCTGATAAATAATCTATAAAAAAATAAATGTTAAAATTGAATATTGAATATAACAGATATAAACATTCCTTAGATATTCGATAATAATGTTGACATTTATCGTTATCATTTATTTCATGTCTGATTGTCTGAAGTTAATAACTATTCTCATGATGATTCTGTTGTATAAAACAAAAGGAGTTGCCAGAAGTTGAAGTTGTATGACTGGCGTCATACTTGTATATGGAACAGAACTTGTATATGGTTCATGTGTATTATTGGTGTGTTCCCTCAGGCTGTTGTGAGGTACAATGTTCCCGAGGACACGCCCAGTGAAGCCTTTCTCCTGAATGTCACCACACAAACTGCCCCAGACCCCAAGTGTGTCACCAAGAGCATCGAGGCTTGTGCGTCATATCAACTTCCTGACAAGACGTCAAACATGGCAGTTATAGAAGTCAACTTAGTGTCCGGTTACATGCCTGTAAAGGCAGACCTCAAGCAGGTTGTGGGAGACGGCACAGGACTGCTCAAGCGTTACGAAGTTGATGGGTACACAGTTACCTTTTATGTGGAGCAGTTGTCGCAGGAGGACGTGTGTGTGAGCTTCCGTGTGACTCGAGAGCTGGAGGTAGAGGACCTTAAGCCCGGAACGCTCAAAGTCTATGACTATTACCAACCAGAATTATCTCTCAGTAAAGTAAGTCCAAGTTTTATTGCTATTTTGTTTGTAAATTGTTTAACATTAATTACAATCTATTTTGATCCACCTTTTATTGCTATTTTGTTTGTAAATTGTTTAACATTAATTACAATCTATTTTGATCCACCTTTTATTGCTATTTTGTTTGTAAATTGTTTAACATTAATTACAATCTATTTTGATCCACCTTTTATTGCTATTTTGTTTGTAAATTGTTTAACATTAATTACAATCTATTCTCATTCATCTTCATAAAAAAATATTTATTTCATTTTGTCACAGCTTATTTATCATTACTCGTAATAAAGGTCACAATGTGTACTGATCACCGTGTACTGGGAGACCAATCACAGTGTACTGGGAGACCAATCACCGTGTACTGGGAGACCAATCACAGTGTACTGGGAGACCAATCACCGTGTACTGGGAGACCAATCACAGTGTACTGGGAGACCAATCACCGTGTACTGGGAGACCAATCACAGTGTACTGGGAGACCAATCACAGTGTACTGGGAGACCAATCACAGTGTACTGGGAGACCAATCACAGTGTACTGGGAGACCAATCACCGTGTACTCACAGTGTACTGGGAGACCAATCACCGTGTACTGGGAGACCAATCACAGTGTACTGGGAGACCAATCACAGTGTACTGGGAGACCAATCACAGTGTACTGGGAGACCAATCACAGTGTACTGGGAGACCAATCACAGTGTACTGGGAGACCAATCACAGTGTACTGGGAGACCAATCACCGTGTACTGGGAGACCAATCACAGTGTACTGGGAGACCAATCACAGTGTACTGGGAGACCAATCACAGTGTACTGGGAGACCAATCACAGTGTACTGGGAGACCAATCACAGTGTACTGGGAGACCAATCACAGTGTACTGGGAGACCAATCACAGTGTACTGGGAGACCAATCACCGTGTACTGGGAGACCAATCACCGTGTACTGGGAGACCAATCACAGTGTACTGGGAGACCAATCACAGTGTACTGGGAGACCAATCACAGTGTACTGGGAGACCAATCACAGTGTACTGGGAGACCAATCACAGTGTACTGGGAGACCAATCACAGTGTACTGGGAGACCAATCACAGTGTACTGGGAGACCAATCACAGTGTACTGGGAGACCAATCACAGTGTACTGGGAGACCAATCACAGTGTACTGGGAGACCAATCACAGTGTACTGGGAGACCAATCACAGTGTACTGGGAGACCAATCACAGTGTACTGGGAGACCAATCACAGTGTACTGGGAGACCAATCACAGTGTACTGGGAGACCAATCACAGTGTACTGGGAGACCAATCACAGTGTACTGGGAGACCAATCACAGTGTACTGGGAGACCAATCACAGTGTACTGGGAGACCAATCACCGTGTACTGGGAGACCAATCACAGTGTACTGGGAGACCAATCACAGTGTACTGGGAGACCAATCACAGTGTACTGGGAGACCAATCACAGTGTACTGGGAGACCAATCACAGTGTACTGGGAGACCAATCACAGTGTACTGGGAGACCAATCACAGTGTACTGGGAGACCAATCACAGTGTACTGGGAGACCAATCACAGTGTACTGGGAGACCAATCACAGTGTACTGGGAGACCAATCACAGTGTACTGGGAGACCAATCACAGTGTACTGGGAGACCAATCACCAATCACAGTGTACTGGGAGACCAATCACAGTGTACTGGGAGACCACTGTGTACTGGGAGACCAATCACAGTGTACTGGGAGACCAATCACAGTGTACTGGGAGACCAATCACAGTGTACTGGGAGACCAATCACACTGGGAGACCAATCACTGTGGGACACCAATCACTGTGTACTGGGAGACCAATCACAGTGTACTGGGAGACCAATCACTGTGTACTGGGAGACCAATCACTGTGTACTGGGAGACCAATCACTGTGTACTGGGAGACCAATCACTGTGTACTGGGAGACCAATCACAGTGTACTGGGAGACCAATCACTGTGTACTGGGAGACCAATCACTGTGTACTGGGAGACCAATCACAGTGCACTGGGAGACCAATCACAGTGTACTGGGAGACCAATCACTGTGTACTGGGAGACCAATCACCGTGTACTGGGAGACCAATCACAGTGTACTGGGAGACCAATCACTGTGTACTGGGAGACCAATCACGTGTACTGGGAGACCAATCACTGTGTACTGGGAGACCAATCACTGTGTACTGGGAGACCAGTACTGGGAGACCAATCACAGTGTACTGGGAAGACCAATCACAGTGTACTGGGAGACCAATCACCGTGTACTGGGAGACCAACACCGTGTACTGGGAGACCAATCACAGTGTACTGGGAGACCAATCACCGTGTACTGGGAGACCAATCACAGTGTACTGGGAGACCAATCACAGTGTACTGGGAGACCAATCACAGTGTACTGGGAGACCAATCACAGTGTACTGGGAGACCAATCACCGTGTACTGGGAGACCAATCACAGTGTACTGGGAGACCAATCACGTGTACGTGTACTGGGAGACCAATCACAGTGTACTGGGAGGAGACCAATCACAGTGTACTGGGAGACCAATCACAGTGTACTGGGAGACCAATCACCGTGTACTGGGAGACCAATCACAGTGTACTGGGAGACCAATCACAGTGTACTGGGAGACCCAATCACAGTGTACTGGGAGACCAATCACCGTGTACTGGGAGACCAATCACACTGGGAGTGTACTGGGAGACCAATCACAGTGTACTGGGAGACCAATCACCGTGTACTGGGAGACCAATCACCCAGTGTACTGGGGGGAGACCAATCACAGTGTACTGGGAGACCAGTGTATCACCGTGTACTGGGAGACCAATCACCGTGTACTGGGAGACCAATCACAGTGTACTGGGAGACCAATCACAGTGTACTGGGAGACCAATCACCAGTGTACTGGGAGACCAATCACAGTGTACTGGGAGACCAATCACAGTGTACTGGGAGACCAATCACAGTGTACTGGGAGACCAATCACAGTGTACTGGGAGACCAATCACAGTGTACTGGGAGACCAATCACAGTGTACTGGGAGACCAATCACAGTGTACTGGGAGACCAATCACAGTGTACTGGTAGACCAATCACAGTGTACTGGGAGACCAATCACAGTGTACATCACAGTGTACTGGGAGACAGTGTACTCAAAGAAAGACAAACAAAAACGGAAGACAAACAGGAGACCAATCACATGTACTGGGAGACCAATCAGTGTACTGGGAGACTCACAGTGTACTGGGACCAATCACAGTGTACTGGGAGACCAATCACCGTGTACTGGGAGACCAATCACAGTGTACTGGGAGACCAATCACAGTGTACTGGGAGACCAATCACAGTGTACTGGGAGACCAATCAATGCTAAGACCATCACAGTGTACTGGGAGACCAATCACAGTGTACTGGGAGACCAATCACAGTGTACTGGGAGACCAATCACAGTGTACTGGGAGACCAATCACAGTGTACTGGGAGACCAATCACAGTGTACTGGGAGACCAATCACCGTGTACTGGGAGACCAATCACAGTGTACTGGGAGACCAATCACAGTGTACTGGGAGACCAATCACAGTGTACTGGGAGACCAATCACAGTGTACTGGGAGACCAATCACAGTGTACTGGGAGACCAATCACAGTGTACTGGGAGACCAATCACAGTGTACTGGGAGACCAATCACAGTGTACTGGAGACCAATCACAGGGTGTACTGGGAGACCAATCACAGTGTACTGGGAGACCAATCACAGTGTACTGGGAGACCAATCACAGTGTACTGGGAGACCAATCACAGTGTACTGGGAGACCAATCACAGTGTACTGGGAGACCAATCACAGTGTACTGGGAGACCAATCACAGTGTACTGGGAGACCAATCACAGTGTACTGGGAGACCAATCACAGTGTACTGGGAGACCAATCACAGTGTACTGGGAGACCAATCACAGTGTACTGGGAGACCAATCACAGTGTACTGGGAGACCAATCACAGTGTACTGGGAGACCAATCACAGTGTACTGGGAGACCAATCACAGTGTACTGGGAGACCAATCACAGTGTACTGGGAGACCAATCACAGTGTACTGGGTGTACTGGGAGACCAATCACCAGTGTACTGGGACCAACCAATCACAGTGTACTGGGAGACCAATCACAGTGTACTGGGAGACCAGTGTACTGGGAGACCAATCACAGTGTACTGGGAGACCAATCACAGTGTACTGGGAGACCAATCACAGTGTACTGGGAGACCAACCAGTGTATCACACCTGCGGTGTACTGGGAGACCAATCACAGTGTACTGGGAGACCAATCACAGTGTACTGGGAGACCAATCACAGTGTACTGGGAGACCAATCACAGTGTACTGGGAGACCAATCACAGTGTACTGGGAGACCAATCACAGTGTACTGGGAGACCAATCACAGTGTACTGGGAGACCAATCACAGTGTACTGGGAGACCAATCACAGTGTACTGGGAGACCAATCACAGTGTACTGGGAGACCAATCACAGTGTACTGGGAGACCAATCACAGTGTACTGGGAGACCAATCACAGTGTACTGGGAGACCAATCACAGTGTACTGGAGACCAATCACAGTGTACTGGGAGACCAATCACAGTGTACTGGGAGACCAATCACAGTGTACTGGGAGACCAATCACAGTGTACTGGGAGACCAATCACAGTGTACTGGGAGACCAATCACAGTGTACTGGGAGACCAATCACAGTGTACTGGGAGACCAATCACAGTGTACTGGGAGATCACAATCACAGTGTACTGGGAGACCAATCACAGTGTACTGGGAGACCAATCACAGTGTACTGGGAGACCAATCACAGTGTACTGGGAGACCAATCACAGTGTACTGGGAGACCAATCACAGTGTACTGGGAGACCAATCACAGTGTACTGGGAGACCAATCACAGTGTA